ATATTAATATTAATTCTTACATTTTTATTTTATGTACTTCTATAACTTCGCTAACTTGTTTTTAAAAGGAAGTCAATAAAATGTATACCAATACAATAAAGTATAAATGCTAAGCAGATTTTCCACGTAATAAACCCACATTACTATTTTGTCAAAATTCATTAATCTTTCGTAATTAACAAGCCATCTGCATTACCCAGTCAATTTGTATTAATTCACAAGCATATACTTAAATGGTTAAATTTATAATAATACATATGATCAGTAAACGTTTATCTTATTTTCACAGGTTGAATCAATGAATATCGGGTGCATACCGGAGAAAAGTTTCCCATTATATACCCGTTAGTCTTCCATAGATCCGCCAAATACCTGCTGAATATCAGCGGCAAATTGGAAGCATATTAGTAAGATATCAGGAGTAAATCGATATGGGTAACACAACAGCAAAATATTGGGATACTCTGATATCTTGCTTTTAGGCCCAGAGTGCTAAGAGTAAAATATCGGGGTATCCAATATTTTGCTATTATGTTACCGATATCGATCTACCTCCCGATATCTTACCAATATGCTTTCAATGTGCTGCTGATATTCAGCAGGTGTTTGGCAGATCTATGGCAGACTAACAGGTACATAACAGGAAACTTTTCTCTGGTATGCACCCAATATTCATTGATTCAACCTGTGTTTGCTTTGCCAAATTCAATTTAAGTTCTTAATAAACTGTATTTTAACAGTTCTTTTATATACTGTGACATGATAACTTAGATATTGTCTAGAAATACTAACCAAAAATGTAAAGTAATAAAACCTCTAATCGCATGTAGATTCTAACACTAAACAGGTAAAATTTAACCTTAAAGTGTACAAAGAAGCGTGAAAGTCCAAGAAATCCTTTGGCCTTCACATTCACACAAAAAAGAATGCAAATTAGAATAATTCGTACATAATAAGAAAATCAAATGAAAAGAAAAACAAGGAAAAATAAGTAAATACTATGAGATTCTTTAATTCTTAAATTTTATAAAAAGAAATTGCAAATTTTTTGTAACTATTATAAAATAGTGTATAAAATTTAGTTAAAAGAATTTTAATTCTTGGTTATTAATATGTAATTTGGAATTTTTTGCTTACTTGAAATTTAATAAAACGCTTTGTGCTCTTGTAATTGCTATTTTGATACTCCTCTCTAATTATTCTTTTTAGCCTACTTTTATTCATTAATTATATATATTTTTTTAATTAACACGTAAGATGGATAATGAACAAAAAAAAAAAAGTTATACACTTCAATGTTCTATAAGGTCGATAGAAGATGTGTTCAGGAGTGGAGAGACCAAAAATCACAATTTGAAGCTCTTAAAGCAACTTAGTATTTAAGTCTTAGAAAAGCTAGAGTGCTTGGTGGCCATGGCCGTAAACCAAAGTATCTAGCTTTAGAACAAGAATTAATAAAATATGTTAAAGAGAAGCGAGATGAAGGGCTTTCTGTTACAACACATATGATTTCAACCAGGGCAAAATAATTAGCTAAAACATTAGAGCTTGGTAATATTAAAGCTTCACGTAGTTGGATTCAAAGATTTAAAAAGCGAAATAATTTAGTATAACGATCTAAAACTCAAATAGCTCAAATGTTTCCCAAAGATACATCAATAATTGTACAAGAATTTCTTAAAACTGCATGTGAAACAACGAAAAAATTTGAAAAAAAATATATACTTTTCTTTGATGAAACTCCAGTTTGGTTCGATATGCCAAGAAATTCAACACTTGATTTTCGTGGAGTACGTGAAGTTCGAATTAGAACTACAGGGAATGACAAGTTACGTTTTACAGTTGTTTTGGGTTTTACTGCTTCTGGACACAAACTTCCGCCTATGGTAATATTCAAATTAAAAAAAGTACCTAAAAGAGTTTACCCGAGGGATATTATTGTAGCTGCTACAACTAGTGGATCTATAAATGGAGACTTAATGCTTTCTACATATATTTCAAAAGTTATTAGAGCAAGACTAGATGGTTTTTTTAAAACTAAAGGTGTTATATTTGTTGACTGTCATGGAAGTCATATACATGATGATGTAATTAAAGCATTAAATACTGAAGATCTAGAGGTAATAAAAATTCCCAGTGGAACAACTAGTGTACTACAACCACCTGACGTCTCAGTAAATAAACCATTCAAGAGTGAAATGAGAGAAAAATAAAATGAATGGATGAGTAATGGAGAAAGAGAATTTACAAAAAATGGCAATCGCAAAAAAGTATCGTATGAACTAGTTTGCAAGTGGGTATCTGAAGTGTGGAAAGAAATTGGTCAAGATCTTTTAATCAAATCTTTCGATGTAACTGGTCTTACATTAAACCCTAATGGAAGTGAAGATTTAAAAATGTCAAGCCGGCTTCAAGCAATCGTTGAAAATCGGTTAGAAGATGCAATTGTAGAAGAATCAAGTGAGGATGAGCCAATAGAAGATGAAGAAATAAATTGTGATGGATCAGACGAAGAAATTAATATTGACAAATTTATTAAAGAAATTAGTAATAGCGGATTTGATGGAGAAACTAGTAATGATGAAATTGATGAAAGAAATAGTGATACGAATTTAATGAACAAATTAGTAATAGTGAATTCGAAGAAATCAATAATGATAGAGAATTTACTAATGATAAGTTTGATAATGAATTTAATATTAATAAAGAATAAGTTGCAAATTTAATATATATTATTTATCTCTTTTTTTTTTGTTTAGGATTTTTCAATTTCTTATGCTCGTTTTTATTGATTTTTTATAGGCTATATCATTTAGATTATCTAAAGAAGAAAATATATTTTATTTTTCATTATTAATAAATATTAAACTTTATTATAAATTTAAGCTTAACATCTAACTGCTTTTAAATGAAGTTATCTTCGTGTGCAAATAATTAGTTTGCATAACTATTAAACTATTATAAATTAATGAAATTATAATATTAAATAAAAACAATCGAGATAAAGAATAGATTAGTTCTTTGTTCTCAGATAGTCAATAAACTATAACTTTTGATACGAAAGAGAAAGTAAAAGAACTAAAATGTGTTACAAACTACCTATATGCTTTATTGATCACCTGAAACTATATAATGCTATAAATCGAATCAGTAGAATAATGCAGTAGTAAAAAGAACAAAGCAAAATAATGAGTCAATTTATTTAATTTATAAACTAGCAATTAATTTGTTTGTCTTGCTAGAATTATGACCTTATATATTCGTATTGAGGTCAGTATTCGAATACTTTAGTATTACATATCGAATATATCAATATTCTATTAATAATAGATTACCGATATATATATCTGGCAATAAACTTACTGCAATAAAAACTTAAATATTAGTTTACGGGGTTTCACTCAGTAGCATACATATTTTTGTTTGTTAAATAGTATATGTTATTTGGGGGGCGCGTTATTTCGGGATGCACATGGGCGTTAATTTGAGTCAAAATGACAATTTTTGAAAAAATGAAGTTTCGAAATAACGCACATGGGCGTTATTACGCGCAAATACGGTAAGCATAAACTTATTGTACAATGCAAATCTAATTTAAATGAGTAATATAATGCTTATAACTAAATGATACCTACGAAATAACAATGAAAATAATTAAAGGTACAATTTCAAGCGATCACTGGCAAAATGCCGATATTTATTTCCGTAATATTAACTGGAAGAATAATATAGTTACAAGTATTGATACTGACATTGATATAGATATAGACTGTATACCTATAAAAGGTATCCATTATAAAATATTAAAACTCTAATTTGTATAGCCTATTAATGAGATTTTGATTAAGATGAAAAATCTGGTATCCCGATATCTATATAATTATTACAATCAATACCGATTACATATCTAAATAATAAAAATAATATATCTAATAAATTATTATGTATAAAATAAATATATATTGATATATTAATATATCTAAATAAAATTATTAACCATAAGATTATATGAATTTGTAAATTACTGGACCTATCTATTTAATCCTGATATCTATAACAATATTAAAGTGAATGATCCTAACCGATACATATCTAAATAAATAATATATAATATTTTGTCTTGCCATATAAAGTCATGCATCAATTTTTAAATCCAGAACAATGCCCCGGTACATGTTTAAGATTATACGATATCACCAGTAAATTATAATTTTACACACAGAAGTTTGTTTTGATGACATTACACACTTTGTTTTCTTTGTTTTGATGGGTTATATTTTTTTCAACATCTATATAAGAGAAGGATTTTCTACTTGTGTAATACGTTTTTTCTCTTCTTCTCTAATTTATCATGAAGGTAATAAATAAATAAATAAATAAATAAATAGTTTGTGTTGTTTTTTCTTATATATAAAAAAACTTACATATCACTCAAATCACTTTAAATATAGTTGACAATAAAAACATTATTCAACATGAGTCAATCTACTTCTCCTTTGCCTTTCCGAAACAAAAAAAGAAGGAACTATGCCGAAAAATCATCTGATAAAGGTACAATCTTGATAGATTACATATCGGGTATAAATTTGTAGCATATATGCATGTTAAGTGTGACTCTACACATAATCAGGCTTATTATCTACAAAGGCTTTTTTTTTTGTCGAGTAAATGGCTTTGACTTTTTTTCTTTTTTTTTTTTTTTTATAGATGATGAAATAAAAGTGTTAAGAAATAAAATTAAAAACCTTGGAAAAAAAAATTTCTAAATTTATTAAAAGCTCTTCTGTAAAAAGGGCACGTTCACCTAATAGCAGCAATAGCAGCAACAACAGCAGTACCAATAGTAGCAGCAGCAATAACAGCAACAGCAGCGACAACAGTGACAGTAGCAACAACAACCACAGCAACCACAGCAACCACCAAAGAAGAGGCAGAAAAGTAAGAAAAGCCTCGATGAAAAAAAGGCGCCATGCCTTGTCTCGTGAAACAAAAAAAGCATTAAGAGTATATAATAATAATTATTTGTATTTATTTACCTATAACAAATACCAGTTAGTTTCATTTTTCATTAGCAATTAAAGATATCAGATGTTTTCATATATTTTGATTTATTGAATTTATTATCTATATGGATATCAGGTGTTTTATATATTTTTGTTTTATTGATTTTCGCTTATATAGATATCGGTTGTTTTATATATTTTTATTTATTAATTTATTTAAATTTATTATAATAGAACGATATAAAAATTTCAATCCAAGGGTTTGATGGGCCCTCCCAGCCCGACTCTAAAAAAGTGTGGGTTGATTTTAAGCAAGAGTTCCTCCAGAACTCTTTCAAAATCATAAAAAGAGATGTCAGAAGTTATAATGTAACCGATAGCCAAATTTTAAGTATCATAAGGAATAGCTATAAGCACCAACACGAAAATTATCTGTTGCACCAGAATCTGGAAAAGGAAAAGCAGGAACATAAAAAAAATTGAGAAAACCAACGAATGACGGCAGTAAGATTTTTTTTTTTATTGTATTAATTTACTACCTATATTACTATCGGTATAATCTTAAATATATTTTTCAGAAAGTAAATAGAAGAAAAAAAGGGTTCCTCCAACTCCAACAAATATAGAGTGCCCGACTAACGAACCTTCTTCTGGCTAATATTTCAGAGTGTCAAGTTCTAAATGACGTTAAAAAATTTTGAAGAAAACCGAATACCACAGCGATAAGCTATCTGAAACCGATAAAGAACTCGCTGTTGAAGAAAAAAAGCAAGAGATTTAACAATCTCTTGCCGATGACCGAGCAAACCATGTAGTGAAGGTCATTAATAAGGAATGGCGGTTGAAAAAAGTAATTATTTCAATATATAATTTTATACCTGTATAGATATCGGTACTAATATACTTTTTAGTTGAGACAACTTTTGCTGCTATGTGAGAATACCTCACTAACGTTAAACTATAATAAGCTGAAACGGAACTGGTGGGAGTGTGATCTTGATGATAATTTAACACCACTAGCTGGGGCTCCTAGCTAGTGTATTTCTCGAAGCTATGATCCTGCTGCTTCTCCCGTGATTTTTGGTATTTCTGGTATAGTTTCTCCTGGTGGTGATAACACCGAATTTTTTGGGTCTGGTGCCACCGATACATATTTAGAGTCTGGTGCTAGTGCCACTGATATATTTTCTGGGTCTGGTCCTGGTGCCACTGACATTAATGTTGATGCTGCTTCTGACATTAATGTTGCTATTGATTTTGATACTGCTCCTGCAAAAAATCGTTCTACTGCCCCCAGAAATAATCATTCTACTGCCTCCAGAAATAATCATTCTACTGCCCCCAGAAGTAATCATTCCACTGCCCCCAGAAGTAATCGTTCTACTGCCCCAGAAGTAATGTTGATGAAAACAAAACAATTAGTGGTAGAAGATCCCCCGGTATCGATCTTAATATCATATCCGGTATATTTTTAATGTTTTCAATGCAAATTATTTGAGTTTTTACTAAAATTTTTGTAATGTTTTATTCATATAATCTTTGAAGGAGCCACTAATAGCAACAATAACATAACATCGAACGAAGAAAGCAATCGTAGATCCGGTAATGTATTTGTTAAATTTTATGACTTGTATTTCCAATATTCAATTTAATTTGTTATATGTTAATAATTATTTTATAATTTAGAATTAAACTAAGTTCCCGATATTAATCCCTCCAATAATGTTAGAACTTCTAGACTATATTATAGCAAAGGTGGTTCAGTTCAAAAAAATTCTAGAAGTTCTAGAAGTACTAGAAAATAATTATTTTTTTTTTAATATATTTAATTTTTTTTTTAATATATTTATTATTTTTTTTTTTAATATATTTAATTATTTTTTTTTTAATATGGGCAGCCGTCAATAGAAATCAAGCAAATCTATATTTGAAAAAAAATTAATACTTTAAATTTCAAAGCTCATACCTCAATGAATTTTAAAGCTATCTTGATGATTTAATATTCAAAAGAAAGCTTATGATCCAAGCTTTCTGTTAAACATTCAACCATTAAGATAGCTTTAAAATTCATTGAGATATGAGCTGTGAAATTTAAGGCATTGATTTTTTTTCAAATGTAGATTTGCTTAATTTCTATTGATGGCTGCACATATATTTATTATTATTTTTTAATATATTTAATTTTTTTTTCCTTTTTGGCATAATTGCCTCAAATATATTTAATTTAAATTATGTATTTATTTAGCTATTATTATATGTATATAATATTTGTAAAAGAAATAAATATATCAAATAAAAATCAAAATGCTGCTTTTTAATTATATATTTTGACTGCATAAAATAAAATATCTACATATACCAATATTAGTTTTTAATATTAGCTAGTAAACCAATATAAATATCGGGTTATAAAGTAATCCCTTTATTTATCTTTATATATACCGTTATTCATCTTTTATTTTGCCATAATCTGCCCTTTAGTCAACCGATATTTATCTTTATACATACCATTATTCATCTTTTATGTTGCTATAGTTACCAATATCAATAGCAAAATAGATACATAATTCTTAAATAAAATATTGATATCAGGATAATAAAAGATACCTGTTATTTAGCCGATATTTATTTTATTTTCTCCTGATATTCATCTTTTATACTGCTATAGATCTGGAAAACACGTGTAGAAACCAGCTAGATAATTATCATATAAGGAATCAATATCGGGATAGTAATAGATACTCTTTATTTATCTTATATTCATCTTTTATTTTGTACCAATATCTATC